GTAATAGCCGAACTGAAAATTTACTCAAATTTTGTCTGTTGGCTCCAAAATTATTGTTCATTTCCAGAAATATTGAATATAAATAAGTGCAGAACAATTTGGGTGAGAAAGTCAGGTGGTGAAAAGGTTAACTACTTCATAGCAACTTTTGACATAGGTAAGATTTCTCAATACAGAATTGGTGTTGCTATAAAAGGGAAATTACATATACATAGATCCTCAATTGTGTAATTTCTATTTCAGTGGACTGGTGAACATTAATGGATCAAGACACCATCATGTTGAATCTTCAGCTAAATTAGTTCAGTGACTGCCATAACATTTTATCAGTTGCGTCTCATTATGAACATTTTCTTACAATCGGAATCAGTATATATGAATATATGAAACACTTTACAAGATTTGTTTGAGCAGCTTAATATTAATGGTTACAATTTTTAGAAGTAACATAAATAAAATGTTTCTGTTTTTATTTATATTTAGTGTAGTGTTATCCACATTATTAAACTAATTGACAATACTATATATTTGGGCAAAACAGCTTGGCATAAATAATTTTTTTTGAACTAGGACATTTGTAATTATATCTAGTATAAATTTGAGCCATATTGATGTTAATTAAAACACTCTTCATGTAATTAAAAAAAAACATTGCTCACCAAAAGCAAGATAATAAATTGGAAACAGACTTGATACTGGCCATACATTAGCAGTATAAAAATAGCCGATATATATATGGTTATTTCTGTATCACAAGATTGTAACTCCATGAACTCCAAAGAAATGATCCACACATGAAATGGATGAAGCGGAATACATGTATAAAGACCGTCCCCAAAATATACAGACACAGTTTTAGATAATATGCAAGTAGAGATGCACTGTAGCCACATGGAGTATTATGATTTATAACTTACATATTCCGTCCTGTCTACCTTTATTAGGAATTCGATTTTCATAGATAGCCAAATTCTATACATATATATACATTTGTTTCCCTTAGTTTTGTTTTTCTTTTTTCTCTGTAAACATTTTATTGTTTTCTTTTATCAGAATAAGAGATTTATTTTCTGAATGGATGCAATAAAGATTCTATTCTATATATGCACAACCATCGTCATACACAAGATCATTCATTGAAAATCAAACATTCTATGTATATATGCGGCATTTAATTTCAAAGCTTTAATCCAGCTGTTCTATTAAAGAAATATACCAGCACTGCTGATACAGGTTTTACTCCACATTTTGCTAAACAAGTATAAATAGCTTTGATAATGAAGAATTCCACAAGAGTGATTTTTTTGCCCGAATCAAAAATAGTAAAATTCACAATAATTTGAATGCTATAAATGCCTGCTTCTCAAGTTGTAGTCTTTTTATTATAAACAATTCAACAGTTTGTCTGTGTTTGAGAGTAAGTTTTTGCACAAACCAAATTGTCTGCTGTCCAGAATCACACTGCTACACATTTTTTGGAGCCGATAAGGGATGCATACAGCAGCTGCTATGTTGGATTGAAGAGTGATGGAGATTGTGACTGTTATTAATTAATGCCATAAAAAGACACAGTATCAAAAGATTAAAACTAGTTAATTCCTGAAATGATTGAACATGTATTGAAGGACTCAAAGGAGACTAAGACAGTATTTAAGGCTTAATGCGACCTAATCAAAACTCTCTTTAATGCATTATGCATCACCACTGGATTTATCAACTCAAATCTGGACAACCATCACCCATTGTTAACTTTATAAAAATACTTTATTATTATTATTCACTGGTACACTGTTCCTCATATTGTTGTAAATAGGTATATATATGGGATTTCAACCTCTTATCGACCAGTTTAACACCTACAATGTTGGTCTTCTAAAATGATATATGTAGTGATCTTATCCAGTTTCTCTATGAATCAATCTGAATTCCATTTACATAAGCCACATCAAAGCATAATAGTTCAACAATGGAGATATACTGTGTTCGATATACCCAAGATGTTTCATGCATTGATCGGTTCAGATGGCAGATATTTCCTCTTGCAAACGTATACTTTATGATTGGATATTGTAATGACGAACATATAAGTATCAAAAACAACTGAAAATCAAGAAAACATAATAAATCATACAATCAGATAGAAACTATTTATAAACATTCTATGCACATCCCAAATGTCATGAATTAGAATATTTATAATCTAATCAGTAAACAATAACACTTCACTATAACACAACACACTCAAGTCTTGAAGTGCTTCTTTGATTTGAAAGATTTCATAGGTGAGAGAAAGACATGTTGCTGATTGTGTTTACATTTGAAGTCAATTCATGTTTTGAATACGCATGTATATAAGCCTGAAATGTTATTTTTCATTAATAGGCAACAATAGAACAAAAAATATCAATGCTGTGAATGTCCTTTCCATCATTTACTTCAAATAAGCACTAAATTACTAGATTTATGTTACACTAAATGTACACAATGAAAAGATTGACAAATTTGAATGGAAACAAATTCACTATTACCGGTAAACAGGGAAATCAATACACTTTTGACAATGTTTGACAACTCACTATCACATACCATATTCAGATTCTGTGTCATTATTGGTCACATGGGGTTTTATAATTCAATATTGCATACCTGATAGTCTTTTAAATGGATCATTTCTATCTGGTGACAGCTGTACTCTACTGGCCATATGAACCATATTCATAATAATACCGGCAGTCTTTTCATCATTCTCTAGTTCACCAGAAGACTGTAGACAAAACATGAACCATTGGAGAATAGACAATACACAAACAAAACTGTTGAAAGTTTACTTGTGTACGTGCAATAGCGAGAATGTAGCTACATGTACTAGCACAAAATAGCACATAGGACTCGTGATTCAAAATTCTATGAGCATGCAACTTCAAAAACTTCTAACAATCATGATTGATATTATTCACAACGATTGAATATTTTAGTGTACATTTTAGTCAAATTCAAGCCCTGGTGTAAGATTTGATGCACATCAGAAATTAATGAAAAAGACAAATCTGACCATCAAGGCTCTCTACAGGCATTCGAATGGTAAACAGAGAAATCAACCAGAATAACTTGTTGGTACGTACAGCAATTACAGCTCCATCTTCATGGATGACAAGATATCCCAGCTGATCTGGTATCCTTTCTAAACTCTGTGTGACTGGACTAGTCTGTGAATAACAACACAAAGTATACAAATCTATCATATATATATATATACATTGTAGATTAAAAGTATCAGTCGACACATGTTTGTAAATAAAGTAAAAGTGTACCTTGAGTGCCTTTCAGAACCAGCAGGGTCTTCACTGGTTTATACAGCCCCCCTTTTTTAAGGACAAGTGTGAATTTATATTTTTATAACTGAAAATATGAATGCAAAGCTCAAAAATCACAAAATCACATAAACATTGGAAAACAGCTCATGTAATTCATAACCCATGTCAAAAAAGAAGGGAGGTACAGGCAGCATGTTTTCCAGCCAGGGCTTCAGTTACCCATTCATCTAAATTTTTTGATAAATGCTAATCAAAAAAATAATTTAGCTAAATCATGCTTTACTGCATTATCCATATATAGTGGCCTGAATTTCATGACAAAAAAGTGTGATGAGCACGAGTCTAAGAAAAGAACTGAAAAAAACAAAAACATGTCAAATTCCCTGTGCTGTGACTTAAAATGTTCGAGCGTGACAGGTCTTGTTGTAACTCACCATCTCTTGGAACACAACACTGACAGAATGTGACAGATATACTCGTTATCTCTTAACGACTGCAATTTCCCATAGATCTCCACGTTTTCCTTTCAGACTCAAAACGTCTCGACTCAGTGAAAGTCAGGTGACTATTCCATGTACTTCCGTCTGTCATCCTCTTTCTACTGTTAATATAACATAATCTTTGTATCAATGCAGTTACTGGCTAGAAACAATATTATCTAAACTATGTATGTGAATATCTAAATATTATTTAAAAAACAAACAAACAGACATAAATTGTATTATTTGCAGCAATAATTTCTTAACACAGTTTTCATTCAGCTATTTACTTGTTGAACGAGCCTGTAACTGCGCATGCGTGTCATTTGTTAAGCGTTCAAAATGGCTGACTTGGTTGTTGCAGTGAAGAGATTGAAACGCAAAAGAAAACAATGAAAATGCGATATTGGCAGTCAAACTTGTGATGACGTAGTAATGATACATCATAATGTCTTCATCGGATAATCCTGCCCGACTGATGCATGTAGATTTGATTACACAACAGGTAGGGTTTCTTAGTATACTGCGTCGAGTATTGATGGATGGATGGGAGGGAGGTGGTGCCCTATGATTCATTATTCTGCCCTCGATGATATTATAATTTATCGAAAGCCAGTCACATTGACATGGTATGCGGCCACCTTATCGTGATCTGAACTATCACTGCTCGTAAAGTAAGGGCGTCGATACTTTTTCGATTTCCTTGTTTCTTGATGTATTATTTTTATCAGTGCGCCGGTTCATGATATAACCTCTGTAGACTATATAGAAATGTGAAACTGAAAGTGATTCTACTTAAATCATATTGTCACTGTGCACACTTTCACCACTTTACAAAACACAGCAAATCAGTAAATCATCAAAATTATGTACTTGCTATATTTAGTATGTCTGGGTCAAAATGTATCAAAATATTTATATTCGACATAATATAAACTGAAGCCAAACAAAATTTAGCAGATAAAGCAGCCAGAGCAATGTATGCATTGAAACAGTTCCTACCACCAGAAACAAATTGTAGAACTTTCATCCATCTTTTTAAAAGGTGTATTCAACCAATATTATTGTACGGGTCTGAAATCTGGGGCTATGAA